GTCCCAGTGCCTCCCAGCCACAAGAAGCTCATGATCAAAGCTCTCTGCAAGCCCTTTAATGTTTGCACTTCCTCTGCAGGTGAAGTTTTGTACCAACACACGCATTTCAGAAGTTATTCAGCTACTTCAAAAACAAAATTACGGAAAACAACTCGAGGAAAAGCACCATTAAAGGGAACAAGACAGCCTCTTATCAAAGCAGGGGAATGCTATGCTCCAGCAAGGTGACCCAATCATTAGTTTTGCACTGAGAATTTTAGCTTTTTTTGATGGAAAACCCAAGTGTGTGGAGCAAGCAGACAGCTCAGCCCTAAAGAGCTGGAAAATATGTGCTCCTCAGAGGGGAGCTGTGATATATTTCCCCTTTTCTGTGCCAGATTCGGAGCATTCAGCCAATATAGAATTAAATGGACCTTGGCAAAGCAGCTTCCTGAGGAGCATAATTAGCTGGTGGCTTGGAGTGCTCTCTAATTCAATTAGCAGCACCATTTATCAGAGCCAGCTGAGATTTACATTTGCACTCGCTGACGTCAATGGGAGACTCGCAGCGAGCCCCAGAGCCTCCAGTGCAGCAGGACTGAACCGAGCCGCCGGGGTCACTGATTTCACTGATTTCATTGATTTTCACACAAGAGCTGCACTTTGGGCTGAGCTGGGGAGGTGCTTGATGGCTTTGGGGTTTGTTTTTTTTGCCCCTTGCTCTGCGACCACAGAGCTGCAAACCTGAAACCTCAACTCAGCTCCGGAGATGGAGCAGGCGAGATAAAGCAGCTGTGAGAACACACAAACGTGGCTTTAAAGCAGAAATGCACATTTAAGGGCAAATCCTCTGCACAAGGAGAGCCTTTGATGCCTCCATTGCCTCATTAATAAAAGTCATTGGCCACCTCCTTGTTGCCCCAGTGCAGCAGCAGGCTCTCCTGGAAAATGCAGACCTTGCCAAGGAAAGCTGTTTGTGTCAGAGCCCTCCTGGGAGCTGCCCAAACACCCCCATCCCTGCCCTGCCCTTCCCTGCAGGAAGCAATCGGGTCTCTCATGGAAAACAGGAGGGCGCTGAACTCTGGGTTGGTTTTTCACAGAGGCTTTTCCAGTCTCTGTCCTGGGGTGACACCTTCAGGAGCTCTGAGGGGCTAAATCACATCCTTGCACAGCTGATACAGGCGCATTCCTGTGTTTGCAGCAATGTGGGAGCATCATTCCCAGCTGGACAGCGCTGATCCCGCTGCCTGAGAGCCCGGAGGAGAGCAAACCCCAGCCTTGCCCCTCACAGACACTGCAGCAAGGTGCTCCGTGCACAACAGGCTCCAGCAGGGATCCCCCCATGGATTTCCTGCTGCCTAATCAAGGTGTGGCCCTGCTGACTGCCTCCTCTCCCTGCCAGCTTCCAGAACATTCCTCAGAACTCATCCCCTCTGATGATTTATGCCTGTTTTGAATTTAGCTGGGACAGAACAGAGTGAAAAGTGTCCTAGGAGGAGGTGACATCCACCTCATTTCTTTGGAAAGCAACCCCAAAACATTGCTTCAGCAGGAAGCTTTATAAAGAAACTGTTTATTTCTTTATAAAAATACTCCTCACCACCCTCCTCACAGAGTTTCACCCTCTAAAGCAACTTAGGCCATGAATTTTGCAAGCAGGAGTTGGACAAAGGCTCCATTTTGCTGGGAATTGCATTTCAGGCTGGCATTTGCCCATGGATCTCCCCTCCCTGCCCACTCCTGCAACCAGAAATCCCAGAGTGCCCCCAGCCCTCCCTCTCCAAAGTGCAAATCCTACCTGGAAGCATCCAGGAATGGCTTGTAGGCAATGGTGACCCACTCGTCTCTGTGGGAGGAGTACCTGGGCTCCCTGGGGCTCTCTGCTGCTGTGTCCAGGTCCACCAGGTAGTGGCATTTGGAGATGTCCATCTGCAGGGACACACAGAGCTGCCTTTATTCCCTGCTGGTTCTGGGCTCACTCACAGCAATCAGAAGGGGCTGCACTCCCAGCAGCAGGGGAATGTGCAGGGCACAGGTAACACAGCTCATTTTGGGGGGCAATCCAGCAGGAGACCACAAAAACACGGATGAGGTGGGAAGGCTTTGATTCCGTCTCCATCTCATGCACCCAATTCAAGTTTTACACAGGAAAATGCTTTTCCAAGTGGGATTATCAGAAATCTCAACTATCTGCTTTAATACCAGTCAATTTTTAGATCAGTGGAGTTTACTGGTGAAAGATAAAGAGGATTTTAAAGTGATGCAATTCTGGTGACCCACTCATACATATACATGAATGAATGTGTAATTAATAATTAATTAATGGTGACCAGCAGAATTTATTCCTTCCCTTGCAGCAACAACATCCAAACTTCTCAAGGACAAACTTCTCAATAAATTGTGTTACCTGCACGACGCAGGTCACATAATTTGAAGGTTTTCAAGCAAAACCTTTGTGGGGGAATCCAGCAGGAGACCACACTATGAAACCTCCCCCTTCCTGCTGGGAATCCTGTGTCTCACCCTACCTTACCCCCTAAAACTCTTCCTTGAGGGATCTCAGCTCACTCTCCCACAAAATTTTACTGCCAACTTCCTTGGCCATGCTTGAGATCCCTTTTCTGAAGCACCTTTGGGGCTTGATGTAACAATTTAGGCTGGAAACAATTTAATTAGGTGGGTAGCAGATGGCTCTGTGGCATCACAGCACAGTGGCAAATGAAATTACACCACAGGAAATCAGCTGAGGATGCTGAATTCACTTTGTGCTCGGTGTGAGAGGAACATTCCAGGCCCTGGGAGAGGCTCTGGCTCATTAGCACAAGGACTCCCAAACCACTAACCAAGTTTTTCTGGAAGTGATGTAGAATCATTCAGAGAAAGACAAGTTGCTGCCTCAAGGACCTCACTTGTCTCAACGTAAATGCTGCCCTGACTCCAAATTCCAGGTGCAAGCCACATTTCCCTTGTATTTTCACATTACAGTGAAGCCAAGGATGATATTCCTCCTGCTCTGCAGCACCTCTGCATTGATTTGGGGATTTACACAAGAGCTGGGTGACGCCCAGACCTTGAAACGAAAGAAAGGAACGAGTTCTGCTGAACAAAGCTGCGAGGGATTTCTAAATCACATCCTCTCCTCTTCTGCTCCCCTTTCCTTTTCCTCCTCCCACTCTTTCTTTATTTGACACCACTGCTCTGCCAAGTGAGGAGAGCCGAGCTGGATCCCATCCTGGCTGACAGCAGTGGGAACACCCAGAGCTGGGGCTAAGGGCACATCTGCTGCTGCCACGGGGGCTGGAGGGTGCTGCAAGTGAAGAGAAAATGCTCAGAAACCCTTTTCACTGAAGGCAGCAGCTGTTAGCAGCTTTCAGCCCAATCTGCTGGTCCTGCTTGGATGGATCTTGGGAAGAAATAATATTCCTTATCTGTTTCTTGGCACTTTCAGAGACAAATGCACCTCCCCAGCTGGGCAAGTGCAAGGTAAGTGCAGCTCGATGTGATTAAGGAGAGAGAGATTGCAAAGCAAGATCAAATCGCTCTTCCCCCAGTGTCTCATAGCAACAGGAACACTGAGGTTCCCTCTTCCATTTCCAAGCAGAGCAGTAACAGATACTCACACCTGAAACAGGGAGATCACAGCCATTAATGCCTTTATCCATGGCTCACGTAATCCTCCTGAATAATTTGTTTTCTCCCCTTTAAATGACCAACAGCCTCGTGCTATTGAGATTTATTTCCTCTCACAGTCCTGTCCCAGGTCTTGCTAATTATTCTTCTACTTTTAAAAAAAAAAATCTGAACATGCTCATACTCACTAAATATAGGAAAAGATCTTGATCTTTTGGTGTAATTAGCAGGTCAAAAGTAAGAGTTTTAAGCCCCTGTTTAATTTCTGATTTCTCAAGTCCTAGGCCCTTGAGCTTGCATGAGAAAGAACAAAGTTGTAGGGTGACATTAAGGAGCAAGCATGAAACAAAAATGTGTTTTGCTCTATTAGTCACAGGCTGGAGCAGCCAGCTGTCTGTGCTAAAAATAAGCCCCAGCTAAAGATTTCATAAATTAAATGCACTGCAGCAGACAGCTCCTCTCAGGTGGGAACACGCCTCCTTCCCATTTCCAGTAACTGCATAATCAGCCTCAAAATAAGAATTTTAACCCACAAGACTGCCAAGATTGAACCTGTCAGTTCAGCAATAATTTTAAGACATTCCTATCTGGGTTTTGTTTAGTTCAACCAGGAAATAAATCAATAATTATCTTAGCAGATTCCCACTAATTCAATTAAGTTCCAAATTAAGTTCCTCCTCCTCAGTTGAAAATATGATGAATTGTTTTATATTTAAAAAGAAATAAAAGAGGAAATTTTCAATTCCTGCTCAGTGACAAATATTTTCTGTGGGGGACTTCAAATTACTCATTCCTGTGATCACATTAACACACTACACTAAACCCAAAACTGCAATAATTAGGAATTCTTACTTCTGCTGCTTCTTTCATGATCATTATGTCTTCAAACTGGCAGATGAAAGGCAAACAGAAGCCACTCACAAGAATGGGGAGACTTCCAAGTGCTGCAGAGGGACCAGTTTTGCTTTGGAACTCCCCAGGAAACAGAAATGGGGAGAGGGATTGCAAGAATTTAAATTATCCAGCAGAAATGGGGAGATCCACTGTGAGGCACTGCAATAATTTAAATTATCCAGCGAGGTAAGGGAAAGGAAGCAGGAACAAATCCTTACATATCGAGAGGGCTCCTCCTTGTTCTGGTCGTTCATGTCTGCAGGAATGATCCTGGTGGCCAAGGGCCCCTTGGCAAAGGGTTTGGGCAGCTGGCCCCGGAATTCCGACAGGATGAACTGGAGCTGCCAGCTGCGGAGAGCAGGGAGAGCAG